TATATCAATGCACTTGAGTCTAGTGAATTTGGTGGTGAAGGTCATATTTCACACAGCTTAAATTTCATGACTACATCAAAGGACAACACAGCAAGACACTCAAAATCTAGGTCAGCTGATATCAAAGTTCACTTTACATCTTAATCTGTGCACATGGTTCAAATTTATAGCTGTACATCATTGGACAAGAAAGTAGGTCACATCATCAAAATCTAGGGGCGGAACCAATTTTGACCCCAGGGCTATAATTTGAACAATCTTGGTAGAGGTTCACTTCGTAAAGTCTCATGCCATATATTTACCCTCTAGCCTTTGTCAATTCAGAGAAGAATTTTTTTCAAGATTTACTTTATACATATAAGGAAAACTATCGCCTCTGGGGCAGGGCAATTTTAACACTAGGGGCATAATTAAAACAACTTTAGTAGAGGACCCATAGATGATATTATATACCAAATATCATAGGCTCTAAGCCTTATACCTTCAGACAAGATGATTTTTTTAATTTTTTACTATATGTGCATAGTGAATATCAATGACCACGGGGGGTGGGGCCAATTTTGACCCCAGGGCTATAATTTGTACAATCTTGCTCGAGGTTCACTACCCAATGTTTCATGCAAAATATCTTAACTCTAGCCTTTGTAAATTTAGAGATGATTTTGCTAATTTTGACACTTTAGGCAAAATTTGAACAACTTTGGTAGAGTACCTATAGATGATATCATTCAACAAATATTAAAGCTCTAAGCCTTGTACCTTCAGACAGTAGGATTTTTTGATTTTTACTTTATGTATATATTGAAAGGCCATGACCCAGGGGCGGGGACAATTTTGACCCCAGGGCTATAATTTGAACAATCTTGGTAGAGGTTCACTTCGCAAAGTCTCATGCCATATATTTACACTGTAACCTTTAGCCTTTGTCAATTCAGAGAAGAAAATTTTTCAAGTTTTTTCTATATACATAAGGAAAACTATTGCCTCTGGGGCAGGTCAATTTTAACACCAGGGGCATAATATAAACAACTTTGGAATAGGAGGACCCATAGATGATATTATATATCAAATATCAAAGCTCTAAGCCTTGTACCTTCAGACAAGAAGATTTTTTACTATGTGTGCATAGTGAAAATCAATGACCACTGGGGGTGGGGCCAATTTTGACCCCAGGGCTATAATTTGTACAATCTTGCTAGAGGTTCACTACACAATGTTTCATGCAAAATATCTTAACTCTAGCCTTTGTAAATTTAGAGAAGATGATTTTTTAAGGTTTTAATATATACATGTAAGGAAATCCTATGGCCCCCGGGGCGGAGTACCTATAGATGATATCATTCAACAAATATTAAAGCTCTAAGCCATGTACCTTCAGACAATAAGATTCTTTTATTTTTTACTATATGTATATATTGAAAAGCCATGTCACCCCCGGGGCGGGGACAATTTTGACCCCAGGGCTATAATTTGAACAATCTTGCTAGAGGTTCACTACACAATGTTTCAAGCAAAATATCTAACCTCTAGCATTTGTCAATTGCTAGAAGAATTTTTTTTAAAGTTTTGACTATAAGTTTTTACTATATACATATAAGGAAAACCAATGACTCCTGGGGCGGCCCGATTTTGACCCCATGGCTATAATTTGAACAATCTTGGTAAGGGTCTACCAGACAATGCCTTATGCAAAATATCTAAGCTCTAGGCCTTTTGGGTCCTTACAAGAAGGTATTTTAAGTTTTTACTATATGTACATATAGTGAAAATCAAGGACCCCCTGGGCGGGGCCGATTTTGACCCCAGGGCTTTAATTTGAACAATCTTGGTAGAGGTCTACCAGACAATGCCTTATGCAAAATATCTAAGCTCTAGGCCTTTTGGGTCTTTACAAGAAGATTTTTTAAATTTATTCTTATAATTCCTTTTGGTTGCCATGGCAACCAGATTTCTGCATGGAATGAAATTCTTTGAACAACTTTGGAAGCCCCATACATACACACAGGTGAATGGCTATATGCCACTGCATCGCAGATGCTGCGGTGGCATAAAAATCTAAGCTGAAGCCAATGAAGTTTCAGAAGAATTGGTTAGTCATATATGGAAAACCAATGACCAACCCGGGTCAAGCCAATTAAATGATTTTTGACCTAAATGCTACATCTAATAGATGTTTTCCCCCAAACTATTAAACAAGAGGGCCATGATGGGCCTAGATCGCTCACCTGACTTATCAAACTCATCCAAATAATTACCTAGACAAGCATTCTGACCAAGTCTCATGACAGGCGAGTCAAAAATGTGACCACTACAGTGTTAACAAGGATTATCCATATTTGAGCAGTGCGACCTAGTTTTTTACCCTGGTGACACATATTCAAACTTGACCTAGAAATCATCAAAACAAACTTTCAGACCAATTTCCAGGATACTTGGGTCAAAACAGTAGCAACTAGAGTGTTAACAAGATTTTTCTATTTTTAGCTCCGGTGACCTAGTTTCACATGCAATTTCGAACTCATCCAAGCAATTACCTAGACAAGCATCCTGACCAAGTTTGATGATAATTGAGTCGAAAATGTGACCACTAGAATGTTAACAAGGTTTTTCCATATTTGGGCGGTGTGACCTAGTTTTTCATCCAAGATGACCCATGTTCGATCTTGACTTAGAAATCATCAAAACAAACTTTCAGACCAATTAACAGAATATTTGGATCACAACAGTAGCCACTAGTGTTAACAATATTTTTCTATTTTTAGCTCCTGTGACCGAGTTTTTCATCCATGATGACCCATGTTCGATTTATTCCCAGCAATGACCTAGACAAGTTTCCTGACCAATTTTGATGACAATTGAGTCAAAATTGTGACCACTAGAGTGTTAACAAGGTTTTTCTATTTTTAGCTCCGGTGACCTACTTTTTCATCCGAGATGACCCATGTTCGAACTCATCCGAGCTATCACCTAGACAAGCATCTTGACCAAGTTTGATGATGATTGATGCAAAAATGTGACCGCTAGAGTGTTAACAAGGTTTTTCTATTTTTAGCTCCGGTGACCTTCCTTTTCATCCGAGATGACCCATGTTCGAACTCATCCGAGCTATCAACTAGATAAGCATCCTGACCAAGTTGATGATGATTGATGCAAAAATGTGACCGCTAGAGTGTTAACAAGGTTTTTCTATTTTTAGCTCCGGTGACCTACTTTTTCATCCGAGATGACCCATGTTCAAATTAAATCCGAGCTATCACCTAAACAAACATCTTGACCAAGTTTGATGATGATTGATGCAAAAATGTGACCGCCAGAGAGTTAACAAGGTTTTTCTATTTTTAGCTCCGGTGACCTACTTTTTCATCCGAGATGACCCATGTTCAAACTCATCCGAGCTATCAACTAGATAAGCATCCTGACCAAGTTTGATGATGATTGAGGCAAAAATGCGACCGCTAGAGTGTTAACAACTAAATGTGAACGGACGACGGACAATCATCGATCCTAAAAGCTCACCCCGAGCATGCTCAGGTGAGCTAAAAATCCAGTACAATCGTGTGGTGGATTATCGGAAGAGTTGTAACATACAATGTCTCACATGAATATTGTATGTAAACATGATAAAATGTTCTGAAACAAATTATTGTAATTCTGGAGAGCGAAAACAAACAAGGAAATCACATTTTAAATTTTATTCTGCAAAGTAACATACAACAATCCACACATTTTATTATAGCTGTGCTATAGCTTCTATTCTAAAACAAGTTGAAAGATAATGAATTCCTAATATTTAATCAAATATCACAGTCTAACAAATGCAGAATTTATTTTTTTCTAATAGTGAAAGAAATACGCTGATACAAATAACTTTGTCATAAAATGTGTCTGATAGAAGTATACCACATATCGGCCAATCAAGTGTAGAAACATAAACATATCTCAAAGCAAAACGGATTTCAAGATGGACACTGGTACTCCTTGATCTAATTTGTCGATTACTCCAATTATAAACGTTTTCTGTTATGGAAAATATTCCTGAAATATTTGTTAGAAATACATTGTACTTATATCTTACGGCACAATTTTTTTCAATAACTTCTCCAAATAAGCACATCTAATCTTAAAGGCAGGTCTTCATTTGAAGTCATGGAATAAACATTGGTGACATTGTCACAAAATATGCTCCACACAAAAGCTTAAGGTGCAGATGTGGACGATAAAAAATGTGGCATGCAAGTTGGTGCCTTTACATATTTTCGTATTTTTTTCTGAAATTTTACCACTATGATCGACCTTGACTTTGGTTGCACCTTTAACCTAGAGACCTGGTTCATGCGCAGGGCATTGTGTCATGGCAGTGAACAATTCTATAAAGTAAGATTAAAATTCCTTCATGCTCTGGACAATATCTGGATATCTAATCATCTCTAGTGACCTTGGAAAAATTAACCTAAATTACATGTCAGTCATGATATTTACCATTTGTGTAACAAAACATCAATAAATGACGACTAAATGGTCCCTATACACATCTTCATATTTTTATCTGAACTTTAAACTCTATGTGTGACCTTGACCTTGGTTGCAAGGACCTAAATTTTCTGTGAGACACTCTGCCTCACAATGTTGAACATTTGTGCCAAGTTATATTAAAAACCCCTCTATGAATGTAGAAGTTTTGCTCTGGACAAGCATTTTTCAATGACCTCTAAGTGTGACCTTGACCTTTAACCTAGAGACCTGATTCCTGTCCGTGACACTGCTTTTCATAGTGGTGAACATTTCTATGAAGCTTCATTAAAATGACTCCATGCCTATAGGAGATATATTCCAGACTAAAGTGGATGCCGACCGCCTGCCAGGGGCGTTCACATTATACGTTGCCTTTATATATCTCCTGTGAATATCAACGCCTCTGGCCAGAAAGCTACCTCTTCTGAAATGTATAAAGCATCAGTATTAGATGTATTTGTACTAGAGATCAAAAACAAACACTTGAATCGCTTCTCAACCTTTTTTATTCACAAGACAAATGTATAGATAACTACAAAATATCAGAAAAAATTATACAGCTAGCCAGAAAACACTCAATTATCTTGACTTCATTAATCTTTTGTTGAAAAGTAGCATTTATCATAAAAAGTATGTTCCTTTTATAAATAACTGAACTTGGATTAATTAATTCAACAACATCCAAGATAGGATTGCGTACAGCATATTTTTTTCAACAGAATAGACTTAAATTTATGTAATTCAAAACAATCGCATGCTTAGATTATATATTATACTTTTGGGGATTTAGTCCAGCAGTACAAGAGTCGCTACTTCCAAATATAATAATATCAGATAAAACCTAATGCATGGCTTCAATATAAATGTTTTCTGGCTCAATTTTGATTTTCAATAATAAGTGTGTATCATTCTTATCAGTTTTAACAACTGATAGTTTTGTTTCAAATCATTGTAATAGAAAAAGACCACATTAGTATCAAATGCCAGTCTGAAGTATTCATTTACTCCCCACAAATATATACACATTTATCTTATCCAAATCTTGCAATATAGTTGTGTGGTAAATAATCATTCTTATGTAATTCAATGTTTTGTTTATGATCTTGTCATATACCCACAGACTAATTTTAGGTAAAATGTAACGTAAAATATAAATAATGAACTGTTCCAATACAAGAACTTCAAGAAATAATAATAATACAAAATATGTTTTCTTCTTTCGCTAAATCTCCATTTCATTCAATCATAAATTTTCCTTAAAATCATCAATAATGCAATAGAAATAATTAAAATGTTATCATTGATGAATGACATCAACAATCTATCTTAAATAGATTTTTTCCTCATTTCTCAATTTTAACAAACTTCAGACAAGCATTTAGCACTAGCATAGATGATAATAATGATGATGAAGATTATGATGATGATGATGATAAAACTGTCTATGTATGATAATGTTGTTGCCATGGTAATCATGTCCCATTTACTTCCATCTCTTCATCTTCACCTCGTGCTGGAAAAATAAAAGTAGAAACATAATGATTTCATTCATATGATCACAATAAATTCTTACAAATATTTTAATAAATATTATATTTTCCCTGAACTCAGAAAACATGTGACATGTGATTTTCTTCATGATATATTTACCAGAAGATTTTCTACAGTCGAAAATATACATCTTGGAGATTGATGAATCTCCCCCCCCCCCCCCCCCCCCAAAAAAAGATGAAATATCACTAACTTTTCTGTAAGTGAATACTTTTTTATCAATCATTTAATTTAAATGCCAGTCTTAATGACATTAATCATTTGTCTTATATAATGATGACAAAATTATTACATTACATTTAGAATGAAGTATTCTCAGAACAGTATTAGTGTTTCCACTTTTGAAAAGTTAAGTACTTTTCCAGGACTTATCAAGGACATTTTTTTTTTCAAATTTGTAAGGACATTTTTTTTTACAACATTAAATTTAAAGTAACTTGATTATTTTTTGTTCAATGAATATGTTAATGAACATGTTCAATGTGATTATGATGGCATGACCAGTAGGTTAACAGTATATGTCAATCTCATACCAAACAGTTTTCAGGGAAAAAGAATTTGTTTGATATCAACTGAAGAATGGCTAACTTGTGTAAACCCTCCTTTTTCATGTTTTACCAGGACATCTCTAGATGCCTAAAATATAGAACCAATTTCCAGCTACTACATCTGAAAGTCAATTTACTTTGAACAAATTATAAAATATTACAGAATTTAACATTAACTTGGCATTAGAGTTATCAACTAACTGACTTTACAAGCATCAATACTACTTTGATGCAAGTTAAGACATTTCGTACTACAATAAAAATGTGGAATAAAAACACACATAAAATATAAGAAATGATATACCTATTTTGTTGAGAGCAGCTCGGCCTGGTATTTGACCTGTCTTCAGCATATTGTTTAGTCTCTCTACCTCTTCTAATGTCTTTGCATTAGCAATAGCAGCCTAATTGTAAATAAACAGAGAAATATTTCGATTAAAATTCAATACTTTGTTCTCTACATATTCTATGTATAAACAATCACTTTTAACTGGCTATGGACACAATACATGTACCTGTAACTAATATTTTGTTGGGTTTTAAGGTGACAAACATCAGCACGATTAAAGTCTTTCTAGCTTTACTGTTGGATTGTGACTTCAGGTGTCCTTCCATGTCTCATTTTGGGCAAAAGTTGGTACATATATAACAGTAAAACCAGCCAATCTTCACTTGATGGATAATTCTTGTATGAAAGAATTCCAAATATCGACAGGATTTTCAAAAAAAAAAAAAAAATAACAAGCATTTGATAGTATTGCGGGCAATACAGGAGTCCCCTACCGGTCCCTCAAAAAGTTCTTTAATTGTCATACACTCCTGTGTATTGCCATTTATAATGAATTTGAGGATGAAGTCTGTATTTGAAAATATCAACCACAAAACATAATAAAATAAGTTTGTCTATATCACAGTAATGTGTGAAGTTTCCATGCTTAGTAAGGAAATTATGTTTATACAACCTTGTCATATTATTACGATGTGGGATTTTAAAGTAAATCCTATAAGGAATGAAGAAGTTGGAGTGAAAATACCAGTTTCTCGAAAAAAATCTAAGTTCAAGGGGGACATAATTCTGGAAATAGTCTTGCTAGAGTATTTAACCTTCTCAAAAATGTTGATTGATAATAAGAAACATATATATGAAGTTTGAAGTAGATACATTAGGAAATAAAGAAGTTATTTAAAAAAGACAACATTTTTTCCCCTAAAAAATCTAAGTTCAAGGGAGGTAATACTGATATTTTTTGTGCTAGAGTTATAAACCTTGTCACATATGATGTGGTTGATGACCAGAAACTTAAATTTAAAGTTTGAAGTAAACACCTTAAGAAATAAAGAACATATAGTGAAAAAGCTGAAAAATTTAAATCAGAAATCTTGAAATTCAGGCTATTTGTTGCCATAGCAACCAGAATTTTCAACATAGGAAGAAAAGAAAAAGATGTGCATAATCTCCAGACTGCCATCTACACATATTTCAAGTTTCATAAAAATATTTTCAGTACTTTTTGAGTTATCACTGGATCCAGTTTATGTGTTAAATTTGCCATATTTTCAGACTATTTGTTGCCATAGCAACCAGAATTTTCAACATAGGAAGAAAAAAAAAAGACGTGCATAATCTCCATACTGCCATCTATCCATATATCAAGTTTCATAAAAATATTTTCAGTACTTTTTGCGTTATCGCGGGATCCAGTTTTGTGGACGGACGGACTGACGGACTGACAGACAGACGGACAGACAGACGGACAGACAGACAGACGGACGGAGGGTAAACCTAAAGTCCCCTCCGGTTAAACCGGTAGGGGACTAAAAAATGCAGTTATTTGGTAATCTATCTTTAACCATTAATCATGACTAACTTCAAGACTGAATTAACTTTGAGCTTCCATATGTGGACATGTTCCCTGAAAGTGCTGTGACAATAGTTGATACCAAATAATGACTATACCATCTGCACACTAAATTCTGTCAACTCTTGAACTTGCAAAAGTGAAGAACTACACAACTTTTACGTTTGTCAAACATCAAATAACTAACTAAATGCATCAATTAGAATACTTGCAGCTTATCAAATTTATGCAACAACCACAAGCTTAATGCAATATACACAATAAAACCAAGTAGGCATCTGGTCACATCAAAGTATGAAGTAAATGTTTGAAAGATCATATTTTGAATATCAACTCATTAGTGGTTGAATATAAAGGATAGACAAGGGCAAACCCATATGCCCCCTCAATAAAAGTTATATTTTAGTCACAAATAGGCATATACCTTAATTGCAGCTACATCTTCCTTGGATGGACCATCAGCTCGTTTTTCAGGTAAATGTTCACCAGGTACAAATGTTTTACTCTTCTTCCCAATATCTGTTGCCAATGCGTGACCTTTCTTGCCCTTAAACATTTTCAAACTTGCATCTCTTTCCTGAAGACAGCAATAAGAAAAATATTTGAAAGAAATTCTATCAAAGTTAATTCTATTACACTGTGGATAACTTTTATTCTGTTCCTGACACTACATTTAAAATAAGAGCAGGACAATATAATCCTGATGGCAAATTTACAAGATAGACAATTTTTCTCTTAAATATAGATAGTAAATTTATTCATGTTGTAAATGACACAAATTATGATTTATCTGTTGAACATAAAATAAAAAGAAATATTAGGTTTCAATTCTATGAAGTAACAAGAACTTACTTATTTACATTTTAACTGAACAAAATCATTAACAAATTGCAGAGAAAATGCAATAACAAATTGCAGAGAAAATCAAACCTGATCTGTGTTTTAATGTAACACACTTGCATCATGCAAATGTAATAACAATTATTGATATCCTTCAGAAATAATCTTGGAAACCAACTACAAAAGGGCACAACTCTATCAAAAATAATTTGATTGTAGTTAAATCTAACTTATGTGTTATTGATATACATGTACTTGTAACAAACATGCCAAATTAAAACAATAATGTTGAAATCCTTCAAATGTTATCATGTGGTGACCTATTGTCTACAGACAGACAAACAAGATAGAGGCCACACCACAAAACATCCCAAAGGTCTTCTGGCGTTCACAAAAATGAGGGGGGGGGGGAGAGATATGACCTCAAAATTCAAAATAACAAATGATAAAATAAGGACATATAAGGGCAAAACAAAATATGTTAAATGCAAATTATAAGAAACAACAGTGAAAAAAACTTTTTACCTTTTGTTTAATTCTTTGAAAATCTAGCACTCGTAATGTAGGTACTTTATGTAACACGTACAATCTGTAGTGTTTCTTTGTTGTTACTGGATTTCTCATCAAACTTCAAGAAACAAACATTATATATCATCATTGTCAATATGAACAATTAGGTCATGAAATATAGAAAAGACTTAAAAATATTAAAACACTAAATGTTAATCATAAATATTAAAACACTGAATTTTAATCATGTCTCGAGTAAAATACAAAACCTGTTACTTCAAATCATTTCTTTTTATTCCTAGAAAAATATTCATCTTTATTTTGTGTCAAGTATATCAAAATAAATATTTATAATATTACTTCAGATCAGCATGTCAAGCTAGATAAGTAAACATACAAAAGATATAATTCTGTAAACATTTCTACATTACCATGTTATTATATTAAGTGCTGGAAATTTCATATTCATCTTGGGACTTTTTGAATAAACATCTAAAAGTAATTATTTACCCACACAACCAGTACGAGCTAAATTAGATTTCCAATCCATGTAATAAGAACAGTTGTTTGATACCTTTCTATTCAAATGCAAACATTTATAGTAACTTTTTGTTGCAGAATATATTACTTATTATATTTTCATATCAGCAATATAATTTGTATTTATAGTTGTAAGAAAAGACCAGTATTAATTAAAAATCATTATCAACTTTCAGCCTTAACTTAATGTAAAGAAAAATAACAATCAGTTTTTTTTACTTCAGTTACAGTGGTGTTGAGAGGCATATACTTAAAGCAAAATGCTTCAAAACCATGCAGTTTTCCCCAGAAATTCAATTTAAATTGAAGTATTTTGCTCTTCTCTTTTAGTTATTTTTAAGTTAAATAGTAGGGCCTCTGAAAAAAAAACTCCTGAATTTAGCAAATGTTTATAAGAAAAGTACTAGAGCAAACCTGATATATTTAAGATTTTTCAGAGATTCTAAGGCATCCAAATCTCCCAGTTCTTGTAAACCATTATTTGTCAACACCAGTGTTTCTAAATTTGGTATACCTTGTTCCAACCCTTCTGCTATTCGTCTGCAAACAAAGCCAAAAACAATCAGTGAAAAAATGAAATAATTTCTTCCCCAAAACACAACCTTTACCTATTAATCTACCAATGTATACTCAGATTTATAATCTACATTGTTTTTTTCTTCTTCACAGTCAGTAATTTTCCAAAAACATGACCAATTTGAGATTGATTATTTTGTGGTTTCCACCATTTGGGAAAAATGCTGAATTACATAATCAGTTTGCAATCATTATGTCTCACAGGCCTATGATATGTTTACATATCATTATCTTCTGGTCTAGTAATGGTCAAAATTTCATGTACTTTGCTGAATGAATATGCTCCCCTGCAAGTACATCAATGTATATGCATAAAAATGGGTCAAAGACAGAAAAGGCCGGGTTGCATTTGTACACCAAATATGAGGTTGTGATGTTACGAAAAGAATTTACCATTGACCCATTAATGTCGAAAATTTAATTCAGTGGGTAAACAGGAAGTGGATTAGCTACACACCTAAAATCGAATCCCACTGTATGGGACCATGTGTCAATGCTGTATGCAAAATATCAAGAGGCTGTGATTAGTAGTTTCTGAGAAAAATGTTATGAAAATTTCCTACCATTGACCATTAATGTGAACAGGAAGTGGATGACCAACAGACCTGAAATCAAATCCCACGGTATGGGACCATGTGTCAATGCTGCATGCCAAATATCAAGAGGCTGTGATAAGTAGTTGCTGAGAAAACTGTTACGAAAATTTCCTACCATTGACCATTAATGTTGAAAAATTTAACTTATTTAACTAAGTGGATAAACAGGAAGTGGATAAGCGACAGACCTGAAATCAAATCCCACGGTATGGGACCATGTGTCTATGCTGTATGCCAAATTTTAAGTGGCTGTGATAAGTAGTTGCTGAGAAAACTGTTACGAAAATTTCCTACCATTGACCATTAATGTCGAAAAATCTTACTAATTTAACTAAATGGATAAACAGGAAGTGGATGAGCGACAGACCTGAAATCAAATCCCACGGTATGGGACCATGTGTCTATACTGTATGCCAAATATCAAGAGGCTGTGATAAGTAGTTGCTGAGAAAACTGTTACGAAAATTGCCTACCATTGACCATTAGTGTTGAAAAATCTTACTAATTTAACTAAGTGGATAAACAGGAAGTGGATAAGCGACAGACCTGAAATCAAATCCCACGGTATGGGACCATGTGTCTATGCTGTATGCCAAATATCAAGAGGCTGTGATAAGTAGTTGCTGAGAAAACTGTTACGAAAATTTCCTACCATTGACCATTAATGTCGAAAAATCTTACTAATTTAACTAAGTGGATAAACAGGAAGTGGATGAGCGACAGACCTGAAATTATATCCCACGGTATGGGACCATGTGTCTATGCTGTATGCCAAATATCAAGAGGCTGTGATAAGTAGTTGCTGAGAAAACTGTTACGAAAATTTCCTACCATTGACCATTAATGTCGAAAAATCTTACTAATTTAACTAAGTGGATAAACAGGAAGTGGATGAGCGACAGACCTGAAATTATATCCCACGGTATGGGACCATGTGTCTATGCTGTATGCCAAATATCAAGAGGCTGTGATAAGTAGTTGCTGAGAAAACTGTTACTAAAATATTTTACCCGCCCGCCCACCTGCCTGCCCGCCCGCCGCCCGACATTCACCATACTATAACCCGGATTTGCACCAGTGCAACCCGGCCAAAAATGAACTCAGAATTATATACAAGAAATGTGTCTATAGGACACTGATACCCATATATTCCACTGCTTTGTCAGTCTATGGGTGGACAGCCCAACAGACAAGGGCAAATCTTTGTTAATGGGGGGGGGGTATAACAAGCTCTGTCACAATTATCATAATAAGATAAGTTTAAAGTAAATTACTAATTATGTTGGAAAAAAGAATTTGTCCACTAGTATCTAGCATCACTATCAGAGCTCCAGATAGTTTTTTTGGCCAAGGGGTTTTTACCCCTCAAAATTTAGAGTGAGGGGTAAAATGCAAATTCTGAAAAACTTAAGGGGTAAAATCTGTCAAAAAAGCATTTTGCATTTTTTCTTAACAAATTAAACTTATTGTTTTGTTTGTTTATTTTATTTTTTTAGAAAACCCTTTACAAATAAAATACTGATTCAATGTGAAACAATACAAAACATGCCCTGTAAAGTCAGACTTCCAGAATATACTTGAACTCAAGTTTAGGATACACAGCTTCCATTTTCAAAATTTGGAAGTCAAAGACTTCAAAATCTCTGATATTGGAAGTCACATTATATAGGTAAAGAAAGAAAAGTATTAGCTTTTCGGAAGTCACAGGCCAAAATGAAGGAGTAAATGACTCCCAAACTTCCACTAGTGCCAGTAGTGGAAGCCCTGAATTATTTTATTTTCTAGGAATAAATATTTTTCTTTCTTTATTTCTGTTGGCATGTACCTTATCATGTACTCAAGTTTGAACAATTATAGTTGAAATTAGAATTAAAGAAGAATAAACAAGATTTTTTAATCTTTCCTTAAAAAAAGTATTGGTCCGAGAGAAAATTGTCCGTAACTGTAGACTGGGTACGAAAATATTGAGTACAAAAGTGAAAAACATGTTATTTTGTTCCAACAACAAAAGTGAAAGAAATTAAAATATATTTTTGTTTATATTGAGGCATAAGCATGTCAATAGATGCCTAAACAAACTTAATACTATGTTAACTCCTACGATGATTATCTGGCACAAATTTTATCAATAATTTCACAGGTTGATCTACGGGAGTTACCTCCCTTCTGTACTTCCTGCTACTTTCGTTTTTAACATGCGTTGTTGACAACAGAATTTTTAGTTTTCAATGCAATAAAATGGAAATATATTGTATTTTTATGCTCCAAACATCCTCTTTCTAAATATCAAATGTTTACACTTCTATTCTTTCACGCTTAAGTTTTGACATACGAGCGTATTTTAGATTTTCTATGCGTATTTTACGCTTATACGCACGCTATCTGGAGCTCTGCACTATAAAAAGATCTAGTGAAAAGGTCAAGGTTAGTCAATGGAGGAAGACGTGTTTTTTATCGCTTGTTTTTCATCGACAGTTTTTCAATAAATACAACGGACTTAAAGCAGAAAAAGCACACGTATATTTAGGGAAACATTTGAAAATACGCAATGGAACTGTGAAAATATGCAGCATGCAAATTGAGGTATATTTTGAAGTTTAAATTTTGTGAATTATTATCTGACCATAAACTGACCAAACCGGTTTTACCGGCGCCATTATCACACAGGCGTTAACACAGAACTATCTTGTGTGTAAAGATAAATATTGAGTGTAAATATTTACTAGAAAGTCGTCAAAATGTCAGGTAGACCGAAGAATAAAGCAGCAAAAATTCAACAATCAGAAGAACAACAAGAATTACAATTGAAAGATCTCATGAACTCATTTGAAACGAAGATTGATAAATTAGCCTCGAAAGATTATATGGAAAGCGTGATAGATAGAAGTGTGGACAAAATAAAGCATGAAATTAAAAAGGAAACAAACAAAATCTATGAGAAAATTCAAAAGTTAGAATCAAAAATCTCGGAACAAAAGAGTGAAATAAATACGTTGAAAAATGAAGTAAGTGATATATTACATGAAACGTGCATCAGAAGATGAAGAGAGAGAGAGGCTTAAAAGTCGAGTGATTGACAAAATGAATGTAATTACTTTTATTCTATGAAATATTCAATTCGACAATAAGAAAACATGCACATCGAGATAACAGAACTTGGATAAACAATAACAGTCGCGAACAGTAGCGTCAGTGTAATCGGGGACTCTGCCCTCGCTTGAGTTGGACAAGTAGAAGATAACAATGACGAGTACCGACCGGAGAAAAGCGAGATTATTGTATCTATTAGTTATTAACAAACTGAATGACGAAAGGCTACAAAATAATTAAAACAAACGGGCGAGGGACATCTGCTTCTATGGAGGATGAAATTGTCTAGTCAATCCCAGTGTAAGTACTGATGGAAGAAATGCGGAGAACTCTCTCAGAATTATTATTATCTCTAAGGAAGTTGTCTTAACCACAGTATAATAGTATGTAGTGGACAGTCAGTGGCCGGCATAATGGAGACAACACTAGAATGGCTGGTAACGAGCGTAAATAACCAGCAGAGAGGATTCTTACATCTGCACACTGAGAGAGAGTAGCCAAACTGGGCGTGTGCAGAACGCTTCGTGACTTCACTGACACAGGACCGTATAACGTAGACTGCTTCGCCGAGTAGTGAAAATGTGTAATAATATAACAAGCTCGAATATGCCTACATCAAATCACAGTGACACATAAATTCAGTATTATAGAGCGGAGATGTTAACGTTGTCTAGTTAGTGCTAGCTTACTATAAATGCACAATGTGCCAGTATCCTGTCTGTATATAGTATCTGATACATACTGTCACACACTTAATTATATAGTTCTATTAGTCTAATGAGGGCCTGCGGAACCACAGAATTGAGGCCCTACGTTTGCTGTCCGTCTTCAGAGTGAGTATGCGTAAGAAACTATACGACATATATCAGGTGTATTACTCTCTATTGAGTACTATGAGCATATAAATATGTTTTAATGAGAACGTATAGCACGACCACATTCCCAAACGATAGATTTTCTATATAATTTCTATGTATATCTAGACTCAATAGGATCTTCTAGGGATATTACAATTTCGAGTCGTGTTTTATGAGAGAATTAACCATTCTCTAATCTATTAGCGTGAACACATTGTTTTCTTATGATCGTCAATCGAGATGCACATTACGCACAGCTAAGAGCCAAGTACGTAAGGCAGTGATCTTCGACGTATACGAAGATGAATAAGAAACGCGCAGTCTACTTCGGAGAATCTTCGCGATAAGAGAGTGTGCAGAGCAGTGAGAGAGTATAGCGAGAGCGTGCATCTAGATCATGTGCGAAGACTTTTTGTGAGGGACATATTTTGTATTTTATTAGCATAATAACAATTATTTCTGTGATCGACGGAGGCTTTTAATAATACG